ATAAAATGTTCTCTTAGAGGATCCAGGATCCATTTCGTTGATTAAATTTTTTCTCTAAATTAGGTTATTACATGTTTTGTCTAAATAATTTTAGTCATTGATAATTTATTTTATGCCATCTCAGGATTAGAGTTGAATCTAAAATATTTCTGATTATATTAATCATTATAATTGGAATATTTTCAACCACATTTCTGTAATCCTCAGGGGTACAAACTATTTTACATTTAATATTAAATACCTCATATTTTAATAAATCCCCTTTATCATTTATCAAATGAATAATGGCCCAAATTTGTTTTTCCATGATCCATCCTTCCATGGATATTGACGTTCTTCTTCTGCGGTCTGCATTTTAATTCCAGACGTCACATGCAGCATGAATTGTGGGTAATACACTTCGCCGAAATCCGTAAAAATGCAGACTCCATGGAAGGGCRGAAAYAGTACCCAAAATGGTCAGGGCGAAAGGCAGAAGTGGAGAATGTGGGACACACTACGCACTCAAACCCTTCAACATGAATGCACATTTGAAGTGCACAAGGGTGGAACGAGGGTGGGAGTGTGGGTATTGGGACAGGGCCGTAGACTCTGGTTCAAAGCATTACACCTGAAAGCCACCAGAAACAGCTGATCATCACTGTTCTTATGAAAGTCTACATAAAGTTTACATTTTACAATTCATTTTAAAATTATTTTGTTTGTTTTTAAGGTTTTAAACGGTCTTGCTCCGCCACATTTAACAGAGCTCCTCCATCACTACACTCCCTCTCGGTCCCTTAGGTCTGCTGACCAGCTGCTCCTGGCCKTTCCCACCTGTAAGAGGAAGYTTAGAGGACAAACAGCTTTCTCTGTTTGTGGCYCTAAGCTCTGGAATACTTTACCATTGTTCATCCCACAGGCCCCTCATTGTCCATTTTTAAGACCTGTCTGATGACTCATTTTACTCATTGGCCTTCAACCAATTGAGACTTGATTTTACTTAATTTTAGTGATTTTTTCTGTTTTTATCTTCTTTTTATTTTTTGCTGATGTTCAGCACWTAGTTTCAGCTGTGGCTGGTGTTAAAGTGCTTTATAAATAAAGTTGATGATGATGATGGTAACTAGCTCTATCAGATAGACTCCAGCTCAGCAGACCAAGTTTATTCACTTACAGCAAATGTCTCTTAAATCAGATTAATTCTGGCTCTGGTAAATACAGTACAAGTATTTGTGTTTAATGAAAACACAACACCTACTGTATATGAGTGTGCCAAACCACACGGCACACTTCAAGAATGTCCATTCTGCCAACAGCACACACAAAAACACATCTGCCTAATGTGAGGTTTGACAGTTCCTACTTTCAGAGAGGATTCTCATTTTACTTCTTTTATTCCTGGGCTGAACACTAAAATCTCCTCATACGTCTCATGAGGTGGATAATGCTCTGAGAAAACCTTAGATCTGACTACAAGCTTCTTTTCAGGAACTTCTTTATTTCTTTTCTTTACTAGGAGGTGTTGTGCTATCTTTAAACCTTTCACTCATTATTTTTTGACACAGAGAAACTGAAATTAGCTCAACTGAGCTGCAGTCATTTTATATTTTAACTGGCTGAAAGAAAAGGTGACTGGTGTGAAGAACTAACCTGCTCTTTGAGTCTGTCAGTCCAGACACAATATTTTGTTTGATCCCTGGTCTTGGGTAGATAATAATAATAATTATAATAATTACTATTATTAGCATCTTAAATCCAACTTGTCTTAATTCATCACAATGAGCCTTTTAGCAGGAGCCCCCCGGGTGCATGTCCATGTTGCACCTTTGTGTAAAAACAAACCCTGCTCACTATGGAGTCCTTTCCATGTGAGCCTGCACAACATCAAGCTGTGCTTTCTGCTAAAGGCAACACTATTATTTGCTGTGCTAAAACTCTAATGTTCTAATCTTTGTAACAAGTATTTATCATAAATAAACACTTGTTAAAAACAGGAATTTTTTACATACTGTGACAATATTTACCAGCACTGTGCACACCAAATGTCTTCATAAAATAAACATCCTAGGTCCCCACATGACAGGTGTACTGAAGCACATGATGCTTGCATGAATTATAGAAAGCACGACTTAGTCTGCCTGTGTTTTCAGGTAAACATACTAAAATGTCAATATTTTAGGAGCTCAATACCTTAATTATTTAAAACTGCATTTTAAAATGTAGTTCGTCTGGTTAGCCCATTAGTCCAGTTACTCCGGTTGATCCATTTAGCCCCTGCTCAGATTGAACCTGTGTATAGTTTGGCCTAGGACAGTTTATCGCCCAGTGTATACTTTGGCATGGGCCAAACTATACCTGAGGTGTAAAACAGACTAGGCCAGGTTGTATCCCTTCAGACCAGAAGGGCTATTTTGTGTGAATGATTCAACACTATTAATATTATTGGTGTATAATCTGGTCTGAGATGTATGAATAGGTCTAGACCATAATATAATCTAGGCCCCTTTAGCCCCAGGTATAGTGCAGACTTGGGGTATGCTACAGCCTGTTACACTGGGATTATTCAGGAAGCATCCAGAGCTACAGCCCTGAATGTCCAAGCCTAAACACCTCAACCATCGTAATAACAATAAAATTGGCCTAAATCTACTGATCTCCCTTCAAAAGTGTACACTAATAAATTTAATTACCTACATTAGAGCAACGGCTAAGGTGGGTACAAAAAGACCTGCAACAAAAAGTTGTTTGATGGTATCCAAAAATCCTGGGTACATGGTGACCAAAACTGCAAAGGTCTGTTTCAGCAGAGGTACAAATTGACCTGGAGCCACATGGTACACACAATAGTTTCCTGAACTCCAGAAAGGCAGTAAGAACTACAGTAAAGTAACATGTACCCAACACATTCTGATCGGTACGCTTAGTGGGGACCAGCACAGGAGGTGTGCTGGTCGTGGTCGCCTCAGTGGTAGTAGTGGAAGCAGTGGTTGTGGTAGTAGTTGAGGGACTACTTGTTGTAGGGGCAACAGTAGAAGGCAGAAGAAGAGGAGTAGTAGGAGAAAAAGCAGAAGACAAGGAGGTGTCCGTAAACTCAACTACAAGGAGGAGGAGGGAAAGAGCAGAGGGTTAAACACAAGACAGCAGGATCACCACACATGAAGGCAAACAATGACACTCACAGATGGACCTCATTGAAGYCTGAAGCTGAAACACACAGCATTGAGTGTGTGTGTGTGTGTGTTTTGATTGTTTATGTTTTGCTATCTATAGCTGTGTTTCCATTGACCATGAAAATGTGCAAATTAGATTTTCGAAAATAAATTTGCTCAATGGAAACACGTCAATTTTGATAAAACTTCCTTTTTTCAACAAAAGGTTTTTGCGCTAGGATGAGGTRGATTTTTGGCCGTATCGAAATTGGTGTGTTTCGCAAAACTGCAATGGAAACACTTTTTCATGGGAGTCACGTGATCAACAACCGGCTGTTTCTACTGGCGAAAAAGGTGACGACGAAGAAGACAACAGGAAGTAGAAATAGTAGTGAAATCAAGGAAGTTGTAAAAGTAAGTAGTAAACTCACTGACTACAATTTCCCAAAAATGCTGCATACGTAGCCGCTCCCAAGTCTAAGGGCCTTTTTACTCGAAAGCCTGGATAAGATGTCGACGTCTCCTCTGATGGTTGATGATGAGCGCTAGTGTCGTGGTAGCAATATGCCATGTGTTTACATCCATTGCCACCATGTTTGTAATGACTTATCATGAGAACAAACGTACTCATGCGTGACTTTAATAGCATTTCTTACTTAAAGGGATCCCCGATTAGTTGTAACATTAGACTTTATATGATAAACATATACTTTAACTGTAAAGACTGTAAAAATACTGTAGGATGCTCAGTTTTTATAATTTTTAAACTAAACGTTTAAAAATGTATTACAGATTTACACGCAAAGCATTCTGGATAAATGATGACATCAACTAGGTCATCGGTGTGAGGCTGCTAGCGAGCTATATCCACCCTGAAGGTTAATCTTGGACAATATGTGATGATCGACTCTTTAAAATGAAACCAGAGAGCGTTGACAGAGAGGAGAAGGTAGAAATGACTCAGCCTGGAACTGAAAATATAGATGGAGGACCTCAGTTTAGCTTGTTTGTCGCGCTAGCACCGAGGTAATACASATAAGGAAATATAGAGTGAGGGTTAGCGCGAAGGCTAACAGGCTAAGCTGAGGTTCTTCTTCCATGAAGCAGCTCTGTTGTCCTCCATCTATATTTTCAGTTCCAGGCTGAGTCATTTCTACCTTCTCCTCTCTGTCAACGCTCTCTGGTTTCATTTAAAAGAGTCGATCATCAGATATTGTCCAAGATTAACCTTCAGGGTGGATATAGCTCGCTAGCAGCCTCGCACCGACGACCTGTCCATTTCATCATTTACCCAGAATGCTTTGTGTGTAAATAAAATGGCTCCATCCATGTAAAAATATATTTTTAAACATTTACAAAACCAAACAGCCTACAGTATTTTTACAGTCTTTATTTTACAGTTAAAATAAATGTTTATCAAATAAAGTTTAATGTTACAACTAATCGTGGGTCCCTTTAATGGAAACACTGCAACTGCGAAATTGTGTTTTTTCAACATTAACAGAATATCGACAAAGTTTTGTGCACATTTGCAATGGAAACGCAGCTATTGAAAGGTGATCAACATAATGGTGTCGATTCTCAGTCATCCATGATGATCCTAAGTAGTTCAATAGAAGACGGACATCTTTTGTTTCTTGAATATGTTTCATCTTTCATCCAAAAGGCTTCTTCAGGTTCTGATTGTGAGTTGGGAGTTCCAGGTTGTTGTTATAATAAAATAATAGTAGGACAATTACTGACCTTCATATTGTAAGATGAGCCTGTCATTATCAACCCACAATCATGAAGCATTCTCAAGAAACAAGAGAAGTCATCCAGCTGTCATCTGTTTCACCAAARGTGATTCATATTCAGTGGCAAAGGCAGTAAAATAATATGTACCCAACAAATTCTCATCAATATGCTCGGTGAAGATCAGCACATGAGGCGTGCTGGTGTCTGTTTCCTCGCTGATAGTAGCAAAAGTTGTAGGAGCAATGGTAGTAGGAGGAAGAGGAGCAAGAGGAGGAGGGGTAGGAGAGAAAGCAGAAGACAAGGAGGTGTCCGTAAGATCAACTACAAAAAAAGGAGGAAGAGAGCAAAGGGTTAAACACAATACAGCAGGATTAYCACACACAGTGCCACACATTGGCATTCACAGGTGGAAACTGTGAAGTCTTGACTTTCAGTTTTCCACAAACAGCATCTGTTAATGTGAGCATCACCAGTCAAAACTCAGTCTTTTCTACTTTCTCTCTGTGCTGGCATCCAAACACATTATATCATCAGAACACTGCACACTTTTAAATGGTTTTAGTGTTTGAATAGAATGCAAATGGCCCACTTTTTCATGTCCAGTGGCCTTTTTACTAAATAATTCAGATTATGTGAGCTTGATTATCAAAATTATTTACCAACACTTTTGAAAACTACTMAAGTAATAATACAACATGTGTCATTCTTAGACTCACAGGAGACAAAGTGGTGTGTTTTTAAGAAGTATGTTTCAAATAACAAACCTCATTGAACTATGATCAGGGTCATAGAGAGCTGTTTACTATCCCCGCTGACAACAGGCAATGGAAAGTAAACCTTGCAAAAGTAAATAGTATAGCTGTACCAGCACAMAGGCACACAAGATCAGCTCAGTTTTGAAATTTCCAGTTATACTGACATGCATGCTTTTGGATTGTCAGAACAAACCAGAGTAAAAGAAGAAAACTCACAAATGCACAGGGAGAACATGCAAACTCCCCACAGACAGGTTTGAACCTTTTGCAAAGTTTTGGTATGAGGTAACAGTGGTAACCACCTACACCATCATGCAGCTCATAACAGATTATTATTTGATATTTTTAATAGGGTAATGGAATTATGATGATATCCTCCCAGAAAAGTTGAAAAAGTAGCAGTGGAAAAATATGTCTGGGTCTCCGTACTCAAGCTGCTGCCCAAGTGACCCAATTTTGAAACAAGCAGAAGATAGTGGAAGGATGGATGGCTTACTTAAAAGGCACTAAAATGGGTGAATGATAAAAACTACCCAAGTAGATATTTTAGACATTTATTTTAGATTCATTTGAAAAATTGTGTCAAGCAGTAAAAAAGCCTGTAGATCTTTTAATAAAATTTAATACTTTAATGTAAGAACATATTTTATCTTGTCACAAAAAAAGTCTGTAGCTTGTTTTGTACATATAAAAACAAAATGCATTCATGTAACCCTTTTTAAACACTTACATCCAACTTTAGCATTTATTTCCACTGGTAACTAGGGCTGAAACGATTCCTTGAATAATTTGATTACTAAAAATCCTTGAGGCAAATTTTCTGCCTTAAGACTTCACAAAAAATAAACCCTGTTTTAATCAACCTTTGTCCGGCTGGAATGTTATTTGAGTCACACAACGCTACGTTAGCACTTAAAGGCTACTCTGTTGACGTGCGCTAAGTGATATTTCTGGCTACGAAAGAAGATGAAGAGTCCTAAATCAAAGCTCCCAGAAAATGACAGAAATTGTCAAGTGTGGGAACTTTTTTAACTAAACAGAAAATACACCAAATGTGTATCATCAACTTTTATAATCAATTTTTATTTAATTTTATAATCAACAACGTTGATTATAAAAATAAGTCGTTGTAGAATTTTAATGTTGACGAACAATATTATTTACCCACGTAAAAGTTTATTTGTAACTGCAATGTAATCCATTAACTGCTGGGGGCAGAATAGCTTCTATTGTCTGCGGATGCTTTGTTTATCAAAGAAGAAGATCGTGATGTGCCGCTCTGCAAACCACAGGAGAAGCTGCGGGCAAATCAAAGAGCGATAATAATGGTGGAACAGAGAGACAATCACATCAAAGAGGAAAAAAAMCAGACTTAAACTTTCCAAAGTTGGCTACATTTGACTGAAAATCAACTAAAGACAGTAAAATGCAGACTCGCTCATACCATGGCAGGACAGCAGCAGCAAAAACATGATGACATCATGAGACACTAACAGGCTGCAGCTGTCCTCCTCAGATGGTAAGTTTCATAAAGTTAGGGTTGTCAGGTAGTCAGGTTGAAGTGTCATAAATCTTGTCCTGATGCATCTCAGTAATCCAAGTAGAAAAAAATCAAAAAGAAAAAATCAGTAGGTCCTCTGGATGGGTTCTTCTTTAGTGAAACGTTTCGTCTCTCCTCCAAGAGACTTCTTCAGTCTGATGAGTTTCAGGTGAACTCAGCCTTATAAGCACTGCCTCCACATGGACAAACAGGTTAGTCACATGCAAGTGAGGGCCATCGACTAACAATAGGCTTGATTAGCTCTATTGTTCATAGAGGGTCATGTGCCCCATCACCTGACCCGTGTCGTGTTATGTGAATGTAGTGAATGCAAGCGAGGGTTCAACGCCCCCTTGTTTTTTTCTCTCTTTCCCTCTTTGTGTTGTGTATCGTTGGGGCCCTGATTCACACCTTTTGCTCACAGGGGGCTGAGTCATACTCTATCATCCTTGATAGAGAGAAATGTTGCTTTGAGAGAGGAGTAAAGGAAGCCATCTTTGTGAAGAAAAAACGTCCACCAACAGAGGTGGAGGCCTTCGTGTCCAGTTGTCCTCCTCCTACAATGCTGTTATTGCAAGTATGACTCCGCCCCCTGTGAGCAAAAGGTGTGAATCAGGGCCCCAATGATACCAACACAAAGAAGGAAAGAGAGACAAAAACAAGGGGATGTTGAACCCCGCTTGCATTCACATAACACGACACGGGTCAGGTGATGGGGCACATGACCCTCTATGAACAATAGAGCTAATCAAGCCTATTGTTAGTCGATGGCCCTCTTTTGCATGTGACTAACCTGTTTGTCCATGTGGAGGCAGTGCTTATAAGGCTGAGTTCACCTGAAACTCCTCAGACTGAAGAAGTCTCTTGCAGGAGAGACAAAACGTTTCACTAAAGAAGAACCCATCCAGAGGACTGACTTTTTTTTCTTTTTGATGTCATAAATCTTATTTTCAGTGACTGATCACTTTGTGCTGAAGACAACCGTCTATAAGTTTTGTTAGTTTACCATCAGAAAACAGTGTTTATTGGAAGCGCAGCTATCAGTTATGCTAACGTTAGCTAATAGGTTAAAGCTCCACATTAAATCACTGAAATGTACTAATATTCCATTCTGTCTCGTCTTAACTCTTTTTTTTTGGCGGCGTTGAAGCCTTATAACGTTTGACCTGTCACATCCAGCAAGATTTCAAACAGGATGGATTGTTTTTATGCACTTGAATGTCAATTTAACCACCTTATTCTTCAGTTTATTTTGGGCTTATGAAGCTACATCTACAGTACACCCTGCAGGGCAGGTTAACAGCCCCTCATGCTGGGCAGAAGCTGATTTATTGAGTTATTTGTACATTAGCTGTACTACTTGCTGTTTAAAAAGTATTATATAATTTCATTTTTATTATGTTTACATTAATGTTAAAATATATCTGAGTAAGCTATTAAGTTTGAGGTTCAAATTCACGTTTCATGGATTATTTTAATTAGCTATGGGAACTTGTTGTGTTATTTACTGGATAACAGGGTGATATTCACAGGTATGATGAGCAGGTGAGATGAGATGTGTACTGCAGCTGGAACAGGATGGATGTTGTGATAAAAATAATCATTGATTAATCGACTAATTGGACAAATAATCACACATTAGTCAACTATCAAAATAGTCATCAGTTATATTTTGGCTATCGCTACATGTACTGACTAATCGTAGCGGCTACCTGGCAGAGTATTATTTGGAAGTTGTGTGATTAAAAGCACAGCAACAGATTGACAGCTTGAGCTGAAACRTTTATTTGTCCCTATCCTTTTATCTGAACTTAAACAAGATACGTGTAGTGAATATTTCAAGTTTAAAAGTATCCATAGTACTCAGGATTTATTTTGCACTGCTGCATTTTGATGGTTTTGAAACCTGTCATTAGCCTTTACGTTTCACTGCTGTTTGTATTTATTTATAGCTAAACAGTCAAGACTAAATATTTTCCTGCCTAATATGGGAACTATTAGTGTGCCAACATCTTAATAAAGCCTTAATAAAAATATGGAGTTACTTTTACTATTAACAATAACAGGTGAACTCTACAAAGTTCAAACCTCGAAAAATGTACATAACCTATCTTACTTACCCAATTTCTAACAAAATATCACATTCAGTTTACCAATCAATAAAAATGAATTTAAAGAACTGAGTTTTTTCAGTGATGATTGAAAATGATTCAGTGACAGAGTGCTTTTAATTAACGCCCCCTCAAACCTCACATACAAAAATACAAACTTTAAAAGCATAAATCAAACACAACTGGAATAGTAATTTTACTTTGGTTGCAGCAGGGTCTTACTCCTTCACAGTATTAAATAATTGTATTCATCAAAAATAAATTTAGTTCATTACTGCACAACCTGACAATTTTATTTAAATCTGATTACTCGATTAATCGACAAAATAATCAATTGATTTATCGATTACTAAAATAATTGTTAGCTGCAGCCCTAGTGGTGGCACAATGCTTTATCTATCTGTCTTGTCTGTTTAATTTTTTGTTTTATTTCAATGTGTTTTATCGGTTGCTTTATAGGGCTGTGTATTGGCAAGAATTTGGCAATACGATACATATCATGACAGAGGGGTCACGATACGATATATCCCGATATATTGCGATACTGTAAGCAAGGCGATATAT